CACTTTCCTCACCAGTCATCAGCTGCAAGGAGAAGGACAATCTTTCTTCAGAGGTCACTGTGGTGCTGAATGGAATCCATGTGGGCTTAACGGCCTTGCTGCTGACATTACCGTGCCTACACCAGGGACACGAGCGTCAGTAATGAGTCAGGAACTGTAATCGTGTAATTCCACAAATCTATATCACTCGTTACAAAGTCCCATATGGTGGCCGCCATTGCCGACTCCGTTATAGCCAACAATCAACTCTACTGGAAGCCCGATCCAAACATCCAACTACTTGTGTAACACTGGACACCGCATTCCAAGTTAGGTCTTACTAGAGATCTATAGAGGAACCAGGACCTCCCTCCTGCTGGGGACCCCTCTAGTGATAGATCTATATAGAGGAATCAGGACCCCCTTCCCCCTGCTGGGGACCCCTCTAGTGATAGATCTATATAGAGGGATCAGGACCCCCTTCCCCCTGCTGGGGACCCCTCTAGTGATAGATCTATATAGAGGGATCAGGACCTCCTTCCTCCTGCTGGGGACCCCTCTAGTGATAGATCTATATAGAGGGATCAGGACCTCCTTCCTCCTGCTGGGGACCCCTCTAGTGATAGATCTATATAGAGGGATCAGGACCTCCTTCTTCATGCTGGGGACCCCTCTAGAGATAGATCTATATAGAGGGATCAGGACCTCCTTCCTCCTGCTGGGGACCCCTCTAGTGATAGATCTATATAGAGGGATCAGGACCTCCTTCCTCCTGCTGGGGACCCCTCTAGTGATAGATCTATATAGAGGGATCAGGACCTCCTTCCGGGGACCCCTCTAGTGATAGATCTATATAGAGGGATCAGGACCTCCTTCCGGGGATCCCTCTAGTGATAATAAAGATCTATATAGAGGGATCAGGACCACCTTCCTCATGCTGGGGACCCCTCTAGTGATATGTGATCTATATGGAGATTTTAGTCCCTGGGCATCTACAGGACAGGAAGGGAAACCTCTAGAATGGGACAGATGGCAGAAAACCCAACCAGTCTGTCCAAGAGTTTTTGGACTTCCGATATTAACCAGCAAGGATGACACTGGTTAGGACCTTGCTGACTAGTGTAGACTCACCGGTAGTAGTAGCACAATATGGGGACCACAGCTGGGTTGGTTCTGATGATCGTGATGGAGGAAGTTGGGCTGTAGGTCAGGTTGGTGGTGTAGATCAGCCAGTCCTGAAATGTCTGCAGAGAAGATCAGAAGGTTGCATTGGTCACCATCTCTGACCTCACCACCACGCCGATAAGATTCCCAAACTAAGCCAGCCACTCAGGACAGAATATTACACTTAGAAGCTGGGCAATAGCAGACCCTTCATCTTAGGACAGGTCCTCTTTGAAATGGCTTCTTTATCCAAGAGACCCCGACACCAAAATAGTTTAGAAAAAGAAAGCACAAGTATCTTAAATATCTGCAATGTTCTCCTTTCCATAAACTTCTAGCTAGGTCATGGACACTCCAGGAGAGTCAACTCCTTAGCACAGCCCTCTTATAGAAGTACAGTTAATCTGTGCTGGCCAAGCTCCTTCACTCCTCCCTACATAGCTGCTGGGAGAGGAGTGAAGGAGAACGCTATGGAGGCACTCGAATAAATGTCTCCGAATCCGCCTGACATCACATCCAAGATGGCGGCACCCAGCCACAGTCTCCATAAGACAGTTTTACATGTAAATGAAGTGCACACAATATGGCGTCCGGAGAACCTTCTTCATACAACACTTCCTGTTCCTCATCAGATGTTCCACCAGCACCGAGACCTTCAGACAACTCCAGTGCCCAGAGATCAGCGGTGCAGGCGGGACGACAGGAAACCACCAATTCACGAGGAAACTATTGGAGCCATTGATCATCATTACAACAGTCATCTAGCGCCGGAGTTCCCGATGAGGAGCTGCAAGGACAAGGAACTGACCACCGAGATCTACAGCACAAGGTATCGATAGTCTGGAGGACCAGCAGCCATAATGGAGCCACCATGGCCCAAGCAGAAGACAACAGGCAGGACCAGCAACAGCCCACAACCTGCATGGAGTGTCTACCCTTACAC